GGGCCTGATTTCAAGGGATCTTTTCCAGTGTTCAGCGCGAGGCAGCCCAGATGCTGCTGCACTTCCGTTGCTCAGAGAACTTGCCTCTTCTGAGCCAGTTTGGTGTAGTGGTTAAGTGGGCGGACTCTAATCTGGGAGAACCGGGTTTGATTCCCCATTCCTCCACTTGCACCTGCTGGATGACCTTGGGCAAGCCTTAAGAGCTGTTCTTGAAAAAGAGCCGTTTCTGTCAGAGCTCTCTCAGCCCCGCCTACCTCGCAGGGTGTCTGTTGGGGAGGGGGAGGGAAAGGAGTTTGTAAGCCGCTCTGAGACACCTTTGGGTAGTAAAGGGTGGGGTATAAATCCAATCTCTTTTTCTGTCTGTGGGGTCTAATCTTGGTCTCCTTTGTCTGCAGGGTTTAGCGAGAGCGGGGACCCTTCATGTATCATAATGCAGACCTGGGCAAGGATTGAGGTACGGTTGCTCTGTTGATACACAGCGAGCGCATCTGTCATGGCTCAGGCGGGGTGTCACCTGGCGCTGCCACCACTCTGGATTTCGGTTCCCTTGAGAAGGCCCAGAGCACCTTCCCAAGACCTTCAGACCTCCCTTTAGGTCAAATAACAGCCGTGAGGACCAGGCAGAGTAAAACAAGGAAAAGGTTTATTTTATAGGAGGTCAAACAACAAGGTGCAGAATAATAACAGTAAGTGGGTGAAAGGAAAAGAAATCAAATGCCCATACGCATCTAAATTTAGTTTCCCTAGCTCACTATCTCAAGTGGCCTTACACCACTCACCCTTCCCTCAGGATGAGGGTTTTTCCCCTGCAGCAGCCTCTCTTCTGGCTCTGCCCTCTGGAAGAAAGAACAGCTCTTCCTGCTGCTCCAGATCTTTTATTCCCAGCCCTCCTCGTTTCCCATTGGTCCATTTTGGCTCCAAAACCTCTCACGGGCTTCTCGGAGTTGTAGGCCCAGCCTCACCTACTGCTAGCCAGGCTCCTTGGGCCTAGTAGGCCTCTGGTGGCACAGCCCAGATCATGACAGCATCACACAACAGACAATCACTCCCATCATTGGAGAGGCCTTTTTCAGCATCGCAATGTTCCCTTTAAGCTCCACAGTGGTGTGAGCAGAAATTCTACCTTGTGAGCGAAAAAAGCTAGTAGCATTAAAGTTGTGAGTGAGTCTACATTTGACCGTTGCGTAAATTAATTTTTTTTTAAGATTATTTCCATAACCTAGTAAAAATCTCAGAATAAATTCTTTTAGCTGTTGTAGATTTCCCGGGTTGTCTGGCCCTGGTCTTGACATTGTAGGACCTGACGTTTCGCCAGCAGCTGTGACTGGCATCCTCAGAGGTATGACACAGAAAGATGGAGTACTCTCTGTGTCAAGGTGAGAAGAAAAACGGTAGGCGGGTAATTTATATCTACTCGGGAAGGTGGGGTGGGGCTGAAACATGCTAATGGAGGAGCTTTCCTGTTATCGAAGGCTTTCACGACCAGAGTTCATTAGTTGCTGTAGATTTTCCGGGTTGTCTGGCCCTGGTCTTGGCATTGTAGGACCTGACGTTTCGCCAGTAGCTGTGACTGGCATCCTCCGAGGGGTAACAGGAAAGCTCCTCCATTAGCATGTTTCACAGCCTGGGGAATTCCTCCATGATAACGACTCAGCCCCACCCCATCTTCCTGAGTAGTAATAAATTACCCGCCTACCGTTTTTCCTCTCACCGTGACACGGAGCGTACTCCATCTTTCTGTGTCATACCTCTGAGGATGCCAGTCACAGCTGGACTGGCAAAACGTCAGGTCCTACAGTGCCAAGACTAGGCTTACCAAATGCCGGCGGGGACATTATAAGAGAGAACAGAATCAAGCCAAATTTTACCCTCCCCTTTCCACTGTATTGGTAGGCCTGTCCTCTGGAGAACAGGTCTGCCCGCCCCAGTCCACGATAGTGGTAGACCTGGCCTCCGGACAATAAGTCTACCCGCTAGATCTGCAGTGGAACAGATCTGACCTTCAGGTTTTCTCCTGGCTTCTCCGCAGGCCCGCCTGTGTCACAACATGCAGAAGGCACGAGAGCTCTGGGACAGCATCATGACGAAAGGGAACGCCAAGTATGCCAACATGTGGCTGGAGTACTACAACTTGGAGCGGTGAGAGATTTTGCAAGTGCTGCTCTGGTGGAGCCCCCAGCGGGGCGTCTCCCATCTGTGCAACGCAGGGGCCTTTTTGAGTGCTAAAGGAGACAGCTGGTTGGATCCCCTGGATCTGTTCCACTAACAGCGCTGCTTTCTCCTGGCTTTGGGAGCCTTCTGCTGTTGCAGCCAGTAGTGTGACAGGTTTCGTGGATCCTACCTAGCAGTTCCGATTTCTCCGGTGTAACTGGGAGGCAGCTTTCAAACTCCCAGAGACTTGTGACGAGTTAAAAAAACAGAAAGAGCAGAATGAAAATCCCCTCTACCGTCTTAAAACCATCCTGTTTGAAGGCGATTTCGGTTTGCAAAGTCATGTTTAATGTTTAAGCCAACGTTGTATTGCTCATTTTTTAGGATTTCTTACCCCCTTGCCCCGTTACTCTGTTCTCGTTGCTCCTCCTTCCTGTTTTTCCCTGCCTCTGACAGTTGTGAGTTTTGCGTCGAGTGTGAACGGCAGTCCATGTTTTCTAGCTAGTGTGTGTGTGTGAAAGATGCTGTGGAGGAGCCACAGTGCAAGAAGAACTTCCAAAAAATGCAGGGTGTCCTTCGAAGTCCCGGCATGCTTAGAAAGGGTGTCACTCAGCTGGGGATGCTGCTGCTCAGGTAGGAAGCCTGCCGTGTTCTGTGTGGCAGCACTAAAGCCCCTCCCTTTCCTCTCCTCTCTGGCCACAGGGCACATGGCGATACACAGCACTGCAGAAAGGCCTTGCATCGGGCTGTGCAGTGCACGACCGACTACCCGGAGCATGTCTGTGAAGTGCTGCTTACGCTAGAAAGAATTGAAGGTAAGATGCTATGATGCCTTTCTGGGTTCCAAGCCCTTTTGAGAGTCCTCGGGTGGTATAGCATGGCACTCCTGGCCAGTGCCCCCTCTCAGCTGTGGAGTCCTGTGAGCAGAAATTCTACTTTGTGAGCTGCCGGCATGAAAGTTGTGAGCGAGCCATTTGGCTGCTGCATAAATCAGTTTGCTCTGGAGCCCTCCTTCTTGAGCTAAGGCAAAAATGTGTGAGCCGGAGGCTAAAAAAAAGTGAGCTAGCTCGCACCCACTCAGCTTAGAGGGAACACTGCTCCTGGCAGGGAACAGTGTGCTGGACTCCCCTGGGCTGGCAGTGTGGCACAGGTGTGTGTGTCTGTCTGGGCTGTTGGGACCTGCCTGAGGAACCCAGAGGATTTGGTGGGCCCAAAGTCTAGGCTCTGCAAGGGGAATTCTGGGGGTTGTGGCTTCGGCGGTGTGGAGCTTTTAGCAGCCTGGGGGCAGGAACGGAAGGCCTGGGAGCTGGCAGGAGAAGCAAGAGGCCCTCTTGGGTTAGGTGGGATTGCTAATTCTGAAGAAGACAGAGTCAGGATTCAAAATGATCTAGATGGGCTGGAACAGTGGGCTGAGACAAATAAAATGAATTTCAATAGACATAGTGCAAAGTCCTACACTTAGGTACAAAAAATCAAAGGCACAGATATAGAATGGGAGGGACTTGGCTTGACAGCAGCACATGTGAAAGGGATCTAGGTGTTCACAAGCTAAACATGAGCCTGCAGTGCGATGTGACTGCAAAGAAAGCGAATGCAATCTCAGGATGCATTCACAGAAGCATTGTGTCCAGATCACGGGAGGTGGTAGTTCTGCTCTATTCTGCTATGGTCAGGCCTCACCTGGAGTCCTGTGTCTAGTTTTGGGCACCGCATTTTTGGAAGGATGTTGACAAGCTCGAGCGTGTCCAGAAGAGGGCGACCAGGAGGGTGAGAGGGTTGGAATCCAAGTCTTATGAGGAAAGGCTGAAAGAGTTGGGTATGTTTAGCCTGGGAAAGAGAAGGCTTAGAGGGGACATGATTGCAGTCTTCAAGTATCTGAAGGGCCGTCATGTATAAGATGGAGCAGATCGATTCTCTCTTGCTCCGGATTGCAAGACTAGATCTAATGGGTGGAAATTACAAGGGAGTCGATACCGGATGAAAGGAGTTTGTAAGCCGCTCTGGGACTCCTTTGAGTAGTGAAGGGTGGGGTATAAATCCAACCTCTCCTCTTCTTCTGTGTTGTCCTCGAAACTGAAGACCATGGTACAGATGGTCAGGAGGTGCCAGATGATACTTTGCCTAATTAGTGGACTCTTGAAATAATTTTTTACTTCTAAGGTGTGATTGGTTTTTAACAGTAACCAGATTGCCCTTCCAGGTTCTTAGAACGACTGTGTAATATTTTGCTAGCAAATAACACAGACTTTTTACTTCAGCTGGAGGCTGCTGGATTGGCCGTGCTGTCCCTCCCCCCCCCCACCCCAGCCATATGCCACATTTCATTTTTGACAAGGACTAGAAGCTCTTTTTTTTATTAAAAGAGTACATTCAGACTCGAAAAGCATACCTCTGGGTCAGGGTTCCCTCTAAGCTGAGTTAGTGTGAGCTAGCTCACAGTTTTTTAGCCTCTGGCTCACACATTTTTGCCTTTGCTCAGGAAGGATGTGGCTTCAGAGCAAGCTGATTTATGTAGGAGCCAAATCGCTCGCTCACCGCTTTAATGCCAGGAGCTCACAGAGTAGAATTCTTGCTCACAAGACTCCACAGCTTAGAGGGAACATTGCTCTGGGTGTCGGATGGCGTCCCAGTTGGTCCTGAAATGTTCCGACTGGCTTATGCAGTTGCAGTTATTGTGCAGTTATTTATTATGACTCTTGGCCTTGACTCTTGGCTGTTCTTCCTGAAGGAGCGTTGCAGCATGGGCAGGGAATCATCTTCTCTTTGCTCTCTCCTCTCTCGTTCAGGCACGTTAGAAGACTGGGACGCCGCCGTTCAGAAGATCGAGAACCGGCTAGCGCGAGTGAATGAGCAGCGGGCCAAGGTGGGGGCAGCTTCGGAGGTCTAAGTGAGGGTGTCTCTTTTTCAGGCATGACTGCCTTCACTCTGTGTTTTGGCTGTCGGATTTGCAGCTCTCTCTCCCGCATTGTGATTTCGGGCAGCAGGCTAGAAACCCCTCCCTCTGTCCCTAGGTAGACTGCTGGAGGAGCCCATCTTTTGTACTGGGCGTGTTAAGGCTGCCTCATTCTGCTTTGCCCCCGAGAGCTGTGGCCAAAGCAAGAACATTCCCTAGAGCCTTCTTGATTGGCATCCTTCCTCTCGCACACACGTGTGCGTCCATCTCTGGCTGACCCTAGATGATGGGGCCAGGCCAACAGAACAGGCCCCCAAAGAATTGCTTAGGGGTTCTGTGATTGGAGGGGCTGACGGTGGCTCAGTGGTGAAGACGCTGAACTGCAGACCGGAAGGTCGGTAGCTCGGCAGTTCAAGTCTCGAGTGCCGCGTGACGGAGTGAGCTCCCGTCTCCGGCCCCAGCTCCTGCCAACCTAGCCGTTAGAAAGCAAGAAATTGCAAGTAGATAGATAGGTACCGCTTCAGTGGGAAGGTTAGCAGCGTCCCGTGCGCCTTGGCGCGTCCAGTCATGCCGGGCCACATGGCCACGGAAAAGTCTTCGGACACCGCTGGCTCTTCGACTTGGAAACGGAGATGAGCACCGCACCCCTAGAGTTGGATTCGACTGGCTTTCCAGCAAGGGAAACCTTTACCTTTACCTCTGTAATTGGAGGGGGAGCCTTCAGAAGATGCCCCTCCCCAAGTGTTCCGAGTGGCGTGAGAAGCCCTCCTGGGGCTGCAGCCCTTGCGTGGGGTGGTCAGGGGTGGGTGGGTGAGCCTTGACCCTGGGCCCGGGCCTTCCCTCTGTTCCTCCTCCTCCCCCCACTGGGTTCCACGTCCCTTCCTTTGTCTCTCCCGTCCCCTGCTGGGTGTGGGCTCCTCTCCAGGGTAGCGGAAGAGCTCTGCAGCCGTTGGGAGTGTGGACATCCTCTCTGGTTTGTGCTTTCCAGGCTGCGGGAAAGGAGGCGGCCCTCGCCAGACAGGAATCTGAGAGAGCCGAGCAGCGGAAGCAGTCCCGGGCGGAGAAAAGAGCGGCCAAAAAGTCCAAGAAGCCCAAGGCCGGGGACAAGCGCAAAGTGGATGAAGACGGTGACGGGGACTGGGGGCAGGAGGAGGAAGGTAGGGGCTCCGTCCAAGCAGGCGGCCTCTCCGGCCAACCTCAACCTCTCCCCGCTGTCCGCCTGCCCAAAGGAACTGCTCCGCCCGTGGCTTTGAGGGTGCTCCTCTTTTGGCTGGGATGAGGCAACGGGGGCTTGAGTTGGCATCTGGAACCCTGACTGCGTTTGCTGGGCAATCAGGACTCACACCGGAGCAGACGTGCTGGGGTTTGCAGAGAGGGCCACAGCGAGGCAACCGGCATCTTTGCAGAAATCCTGAGTTCAGTGTTTGAATATCTTTTGCCACCCGGTGGCTCATCCTGCCCAGACGAGTGAAGCTGACAGATTGTTTGGGGCTGTCAGCCGGGGAGGAGCTTAGCCCTCTCCTGTTGCGAGTCTGGGTGCCTGCCTCTGTATGTGGCGCTCGCATCCCTCGTTCCCAGGAGGCCTGGAGCAGTTGGGCCCCTGAGCATCCTCCTCCTGCCCCCTGCCCTCCCCGCCAGCCCATAAGAGCATGTCACAACTCAGGTGGGGTGTCACCTGACGCTGCCACCACTTTGGATTTAGGTTCCCTTGAGAAGGCCCACAGTACCCCTCCCAAGACTTTCAGACCTCCCTTTTGGCCGAATAACAGGCGTGAGGACCAGGCAGAGTGAAACAAGGAAAAGGTTTATTTTATAGGAAGTCAAACAAGGTGCAGAATAATAACAGTAAGTGGGTGAAAAGAAAAGAAATCAAATGCCCTAACGCATCTAAATTTAGTTTCCCTAGCTCACTATCTCAAGTGGCCTTACACCACTCACCCTTCCCTCAGGATGAGGGTTTTTCCTCTGCAGCAGCCTCTCTTCTGGCTCTGCCCTCTGGAAGAAAGAACAGCTTTTCCTGCTGCTCCAGATCTTTTATTCCAAGCCCTCCTCTTTTCCTATTGGTCAATTTTGGCTCCAAAACCTCTCAGGGGCTTCTGGGAGTTGTAGGCTCAGCCTCACCTACTGCTAGCCAGGCTCCCTGGGCCTAGTAGGCCTCTGGTGGCACAGCCCAGATCATGACAGAGCGTATCAGGGGTCTGGGAGGAAATATATTGGGGTTCTGTGGCTCCCTTTGTAGGAGGGGATGTGGTAGGCAGAGAAGAAAGCAGGAGGGTACCTGGTGATGCCTTGTGATCCTGGTCCTTGCTGACTGTGCTGCATGTCCAGCTGCCCATCTGTGGATGGGAAGTGGAGCGTTCAGAGGGCACAGGAGAATGGTGGGCTCTGTTGCCTACTTCATAAGAACATAAGAGAAGCCAATGTTGGATCAGGCCAGTGGCCCATCCAGTCCAACACTCTGTGTCACACAGTGGCCAGAAATACCAGGTGCCCTCAGGAGGTCTGCCAGTGGGGCCAGGACAGCAGGAGCCCTCCCACTCTTTTCCCCCCCCCCCCCAAGCACCAAGAATACAGAGCATCCCTTGCCCCAGACAGACAGTTCCTGTCTATCCCTTGTGGCTAATAGCCACTGATGGACCTCTGCTCCATATGCTTATCTAATTCCCCCTTGAAGCTGACCACGTTTGTAGCCGCCACCACCTCCTGTGGCAGTGAATTCCATGTGTTAATCACTCTCTGGGTGAAGAAGGACTTCCTTTTATCCGTTCTAACCCGACTGCTCAGCAATTTCATGGAGTGCCCAGGAATCCTTGTATTGTCAGAAAGGGAGAAAAGTACCTCTTTCTCTACCTGCTCTATCCCATGCAGAATCTTGTAAACCTCGATCATGTCACCCCTCAGCCGTCATTTCTCCGAGCTAAAGACCCCCGAGCGCTTTAACCTTTCTTCACAGGGAAAATGTTCCAATCCTTTTATCATTCTACTTGCCCTCTTCTGCACTTTTCCCAATGCTATAATATCCTTTTCACTTCTGGGTCCCACCTGCTTAACCCGCCTGCTGCAAATGCCTGTGTGGTTCATGGGGAGAGTCTCAGCTCACTGACCTTCCTCCCACCAGCAGAGCAGCCCAGCAAGCGGCAGAAGGGAGGCGGAGACGTGCCGGACGAGGAGGAGGAAGTAATGGAGACGGAAACGGGGCTCTTTGGACGAGACGCACCCGGGAAAGGAGATCCGAATTCCAAAGAGGCGGCGGCAGGTTCCAGATGGAAAGAACCCCCCAAAATCCTCCACAACAGTGAGAAGGAGAACGTCACGGTCTTTGTCAGCAACCTCTCCTACAGCATGGCGGAGCCGGAGGTGAAGCTGCAAGAGCTCTTTGAGAGCTGCGGGGAGGTGGGCGAAATCCGCCCCATCTTTAACAACAAGGGGACTTTCCGGGGCTACTGCTACGTCGAGTTCAAGGACGAGAAGGCAGCTTTGCAGGCCCTCAGCCTGGACCGCAGGATCGTCGAAGGGCGGCCGATGTTTGTGTCTCCATGCGTGGACAAGGCCAAGAACCCGGATTTCAAGGTACGGGAATCTGGATCGTGAAGCCCCCTACCCTGAATGCGATTGCTAGTTTGGGTTTTTGGAAGGATGTAAAAAAAATGTGGAATTCACTGCCAAACCGTAAGTTTATTACGGTCATAAGGCCAGTCACAATAAATAGAGATAAAAAGGACAAGTTAAAATGAGTAAACACATAGAAGATATGGGATACATGTGTAAAAGACACACTCGTTTCATTAATTTCTTTCCCAGCAACTGACGTTTCCTTCGTCAAGTGGTACCGCTTTTTGAGTGCTGTCACACAGAATTTTGCTACTGCATATGATCCAGTTCTCTGACTGTCACCTAATAGATATACCCAAAGGGTTCCAGGACTAAAATCTATATAGGAAGGAAGTAGGTACAAGTTCATGCCCCAGTATAAACACAGAAAGCTGCCTTATGCAGAATTGGACCATTGATCCACCAAGGTTAGTATTGTCTACCTAGACTAGCAGCAGCTGAGGTCTTTCATATCCCCTACTGCCTGGTTCTGTTTTTTAAAGAAACCTTGGAAATGCCGGGGATTGAACCTGGGACCTTCTGCATGCCAAGCAGAGGCTCATCCACCGAGCCGCAGCTGGGTTCCGATTATGACCCTCTGCTGGCTTAGCACGGGGTGTGGCTGAGCTCAGGTGGGTCTGTGGCCTTGAGCAGTTCACCCTCCAAGCAGCACCTGCCAGGCTGATGCAGGGAACCCGTGTGAAGCGGCTGCGGGGGACATGTGGCCACTTTACACAGGTGGCGGGCTGCTTCAAAGGAGACACCATGCGAGCGCTGTCTCCAGTGGGAGAGGCCTTCTGCCTGAGCCAGCAGGACACTGATCCCTGGCCTCAGCTTGTTTGAGGGTGAGGGAAAAGACGGCCCTTTCTACTCCCTGCAGGTGTTCAAGTACAGCACTGCTCTGGAGAAACACAAGCTCTTCATATCCGGCCTGCCCTTCTCCTGTACGAAAGAGGAGCTGGAGGAAGCATGTAAGGCCCACGGGAACGTGAAGGAGATCCGGCTGGTTACCAACCGAGCAGGGAAACCCAAGGTACGTTCACAGGCAGGGCCTGCTCTGCAGGGACTCTGGGCAGTCCACTGAAAGAACTTTTGGCTGGGCTCCTTTTGGACATACTGGTCCATAGACGTCGAACTCATTTGTTATGAGGGCCGGATCTGACATAAATGTCATTCTGTCAGGCTGTGCCATGTGTGCCATGAAATGTAACTTGAGGTACCAGAGAGATAGACTTTATAAAGATGGTTTCAGGTGCTGAATGGCAATAGCAGGCATGATTGGATTAGGTGTGATATGCAGAGGGGTTGTAGGCGTGGAGATACCAGCATTTATAATGAGACAAGAAACCTAGGTCTCAGTTTGGTCCAGGAGGATGCAAAGAATAAATGGATATCAGTCTAAAGAAGGGAGCAGTGATTCACAAAAGTGCATACCTTACCACAATTTTTTTTAGTCTTTAAAGTTGCTACTGGACTCTTACTCTTTCTACTGCTATTAGAAACCACAACATTCAGAAACCAGTGGGGGAACATTTTAACTTTCCAGGACATTCAGTTGCTGACCTAAGAGCAGCAGTTCTCTTACAAAGGAGTTTCAAAGGGAGATTAGAGAGACTGCTGAATTGCAACTAATAATGAAGCTCAAGACAATGCATCCTCCTGGACTGAATTGAGACCTAGGTTTCTTCTCTCATTACCAGCGCCTGGTATTTCATTTGGCTTCTGAAGTCACTTCATTCTCCAAGATATAAGGACAGATGGACTCACATTCTAGCTATATCTGGAGAAGTGAGCAATGACTTATGCAAGCTCGTGCCCTGCCACAAATTTTGGTAGTTGTTAAGGTGCTACTGGACTCTTGCTCCCTTCCACTAATAAAGAATGCAAGCTGTGCTGTTAGCCCCCCCGTTAGAACTGGAAAAGGAGATCTCTCCAAGTGCCATGGGACTGCATCTCTCTGTCTGTCTGTCTGGTGTGCTCTCTGAAGATGTGTGCAGCCACACAAAAGCTTATACCTGCAATAAAACATTGTTGGTTTTAAGGTGCCATGGGACTCTCTCTCTCTCTGTCTCTCTCTCTGGTGTGCTCTCTCTGGCTCTTTCCCGCCCTCTCCCTCCCCAGAGGAGGAGGGGGAGGAGCCCTCAGGCACTCGAGGGAAGGGAAGCTTGGCTTTCTTTCTCTCCTCTGCGAAGCAGGAAATAGGAGAGACTGGGCAAAAGGAGCCTCTATGCAGGAAGTGGGAAGCAGCAGAGAGCCAGTTGCTCACGGGCCGGATAGGAGCCCTGCAGGGGCCGGATCTGGCCTGTGGGCCATATGTTTGACACCCCTGCACCGGTCGTTTTGGTGGTACTGTTGACTGTAAAGGTGGGTTGGCACAGAGGAGAGTGGGAACCCTTTTTGTGTGGCACTGAATCATTTATCGATAACCCTGCTTTTATTTAAGGGGGTGGAAAAACACTCACGGTAGCTCAGAAAAGAAAAACTTAACAGCACAGAAAAATGTAAAACCAGAGGCGGAACAGTTGACGTCTGAAGACATTTTAAAAAGCACCGTCCGAGAAATAAACTTTAAAACAACAGCACTGTTCTGGAATAAAAAGGGTTCTAGGGGACACTGCAAGGTCTCCAGTGCAGAGACCACTTGTGGCATGGGGCCCACCCCACCCCACCGCCAAGGAAAGTGGGTTGAGTCCAGTTTTCTGAATGCCGCAGCAAGCCAGACAGAATGCCTTTTAAAACGGACCACATATTGCCTGATTTGTGAGCGTTCTCTTTTAGCGGCTGGAGTGTCAGACTAAAGACCTGGAGAGACCCGGGTTCAAATCCTGATTCAGCCACGGAACTGTCTCCGTGACCTTGGCCCGGTCAGGTTCTGTCCGCTTCACCTGTTCTCCAGGGTGGCTGTGAGGATGATTTGGGGGAGAGGAGGACCCTCAGTGCCACCCTGAGTTCCTTAGAGGGAAGGACCGGATAAAAATTTGATGCCTCCGCTGCTGTAATCTTTGGCCTGGTCAGGATTGGGGGTTATAAGTAAATTGATAAAGATATACAGCTGGAAGATTTGCATTTGGAACAATCCCTAAATTTAGGGGAGAACAGGTTATGTTAGCCAAACTATAGAGAGTTTGCAATTCTGAGCCCAATAAACTAGATCTTGTTTTTAAAAAGGCCTCAGACTCAGAAAGCAAGGATAGAGATTCTAAGGGTAAGTTCAAGGAGCATACTTTGGTTTCAATGTGAGATAGCCAGCTAGAATGGACAGATTCAGAAAGTAATTGATACAGATAACTAGAGGGGTCCTGGGGGTTATATTTTCTCACCCTCGTATGCACCTGGTTCTGATCCCTCAGGAAGCACTCTTGCTGACCAGCTGGGTCCTTTTTTGCTTCTGAAAAGCTACGCTTGGTTTCTGAACCGTGGCCATTCTAGGTTGCTTCCTCGTGCTAAGTCTGTGTGTGTGTGTGAGAGAGAGAGTGAGAGCGAGTGAGCACTTCACTCGCTCTCGCTCTCTCTCTCTCTCTCTCTCTCACACACACACACACACACAAACACACACACACACACACACTCACCTCTGATTTACAGCATCCCTGTGAATGAATGTTCTCTGAAACGTCCTCTCTATCAACTGCCTGGCTCAGGTCTTACAGACTGAAGGCCTCTGTGGTTTCCATGATTGAGTCCATCCGCCTCACGTTGGGTTTTTCTCTTTTCCTGGCATTATCGTCTTTTCCGGTGACTCGTCTTCTCTTAAGGATGCCAAAGTACAACAACCTCAGTTTAATCATTTTAATTTCTAGAGTTGATTTGATCTGGAACCCACTTATTTGTCTTTCTGGCAGTCCACCGTTTCAGTAAAACTCTCCTCCAACACCATATTTCAGATGTTATCATCTGTTTGGTCATTTTAGCTTCTAGCCTTGATTTGATCTAGAACCCACTTGTTTGCCTTTCTGGCGGTCCACAGTGTCAGTAAAAAGAATAAACGACCTCTCTGAATTGGCACTCAGTAAATTACACGAAGCAGCGGTGGCTCAAGTGGTTAAGATGCTGAACTGCAGGCTACGGAAGGTCGGTAGTTCAGCAGTTCGAGGCCCGGTTGCCGCATGACGGAGTGAGCTCCCGTCTCTAGTTCCAGCTCCTGCCAACCTAGCAGTTCGAAATCAAGAAACTACAAGTATGTAAATAGGTACCACTTCGGTGGGAAGGTAACAGCGTTCCGCGCGCCTTGGTGTTTAGTCATGCCGGCCACATGACCACGGAAATGTCTTCGGACAGCGCTGGCTCTTCGGCTTTGAAACGGAGATGAGCACTGCAACCCTAGAGTCGGATTCGACTGGCTTTCGAGCAAGGGAACCCTTTACCTTTTAAATTACACGGCATCCTTCCTTTCTCTTAGGGTCTGGCCTATGTGGAGTTTGAGAATGAGACGCAGGCCTCCCAGGCGGTGCTGAAGATGGATGGCCTGACCATCAAGGACCACGTCATTAAGGTGGCCATCAGCAACCCACCTACCCGAAGATTCCAGGAGAGGTCCGAGGCTGCGGGGAGAGGGCCTCAGGCACCGTTTCCACGGCAGATCTATGGCAGGTGAGTCGTTTGGGGGCTTGCCTGCATATGGGGGGGCGGCGGCGAGGAGTACACGAAGCCTCACGCCCCACGGAGTGGTCGTCTTCCCTGTGTCAGGAAGTGCTGGATGTTCTGGGGACGCCTTCCGCCTTTGTCGCAAGAAGCGGGAGCACTGACTGCAGGAGTTCCTCGGGAAATGCAAAGGCTCCAAAGTGAAGGGGCAGTTCTCGTGGGGATAGAGACTCCCAGATGGAGGAACGGCTGTTAACTGCGGATGTGTCTAGAGATCCGCTTCCTTCCAGATAAAATGTACTGGCTGGAGGGCTTGAACTTCCTAGCTTTTTTTTGAAAGCATGGGATTATGTGGGGCCTTTGGGCGGAAAAAGGCATTGAGAAACCAGGTTGCCAGGCCTTGTAGCTGTGGAAGCGTTCTTAAATGCCTGGGGAGAAAATGTTGGGGCTAAAATAGGGACAGCAAGATTTTGGGTGATTGGTGGAGGGGGGTTCAGGTCCCCACCTGCTATTTGTGTTTCCTCGTGATTCTTGAAACCAGATGAAAGGTGTACAGGGTGCCGAATCTTGCTTTCATGATATAGAATTTGGCAGAACTTTAGTTCTTTTCTATTTCCGTGCACAGTATTCTGTGTGTAACTTCAGTGGTGTGGTGTTTGTTCTCTCCAAAGCCGCGGGAAAGGAAGGACCCAGCTCTCGATGGTCCCCCGTGCTTTGCAGCGCCAGAGCAATCCCACCGCCAAGGCGGCCAACGGAGTGGCCCAGGACCCACCTGCGATCCCAGCCCTTCCCACAGAGGAGCCCAAAAAGATGTCTAATGCGGACTTTGCCCGGATGCTTCTGAACAAATGAGTCGCCCTGGGCAGGGGGGGCGTGGAGCCCCGGGAAGTCACCACCCCCACGCTTGTTCTCCTCTGGACTCCCGCACCTGCCAAGCTCAGCACAGCGTGAAGCTGTTGAAATTTGAGAGGAAGGCATGGGGTGTGCGTTGGGTGTCATGGTTGTGGGGGGGGGGAGGCAGAATCTGGTCAAATGGCTTTAAATCTTAAAAGTGCTCCCTCATATTGAGGGGTAATGTGGAAAGAACTCACATTGGAGCTTGGGTTATAATAGAGTGTTTAATCGAGGGCCTTTGTTCTTCAACGATCTTCTTGACAGAAGAAGAATTTCACATGAAAGCTTATTGCTGTGACTCGCAGAATCCCACCACAACCACAGATCCGGCGGGTGGCAGTTGGCCACACAGTACAGTTTGGGTTGGATCCCGTGGATCTGTCCTGCCAACGTTGGTGGCTTCTTCTGGCAAAAGGAGATCCCCCCGGGGATAGGGTAATGCTTCTTGTGCTGGAGGAAGAGCACTTATGTTTTAGCAGAATTAATTAGCAGGATCCAGCCCTTTACACACAGACCCAGGCCCCCCTCCAAGCCGTGGCTGTATCCACCTCCTGTCTAAAGTTGTTATAAATAGTGTAACCACAATGGCCTATTTTAGTACTGGGGTGCCGGAACTGGCGTTTGTAATGAAACGGGATTGATGATTTACCGAAGTTGGTATGTTTTTTTTATATATCTATATAATATATATATATATATATAGTGTTATTTTTAAATGACATGCCAGTTATTTTTAAGCGTTGTTCAACACAATCCTTGGGAAATCTCCAAGCTCGGCTGTCCCGCTTTAGTAGACCATTCAGTGTTTTGTTTTGTGAGCATCTGTACTTAAAAAAAAAAAAAAAATCTTGGCCGTTTAATTTTCTGAATTTTATTTTCTGGCCTGTTCAGTTTTTTTTTGTTTTGTAGATAATGTGAAGCGTGAACATCCCTTCTTCCTTGGGTTCATTAAAGTATAGTTCTCCAAACCTGTCACTTGTGCTGAGTGTGAGTGGAACGGGAGAGGGCTTGTTTGGGTGGAGAAAATAAATTGCACTTAAGCATTTATCGTTTCAGTGAACAGGACTGCCTGGAGTGACCAACACTGGATTTTTTTTAGAAAAAACCCAAAACACTGGAATTGGGAGTACCTTGTTAGAACATCTTTAAGTAATGTTGAATGGCTCTGACCAAGTTATTTCACAGACTGAAATAAACCTGGAGCTTCTTTCTCTGCTGCTCCTCCCTACACTGAAAAATAAAAGCGTAGTTTGAACACGGGCCATAAGAACCAGACGCTTTGGTTTTGCATGGCAAAGATCCCTTCCCTATCCACCAGGCATCCTGGTGTGAACGTTTTTAAAAGCTTTTTCTAATTACCAGCAATCCTCCTTCTAAGCTGTGGGCAAAAATTCTACTTTGTGAGCTACTGGCATTAAAGTTGTGAGTGATTTGGCTACTGCATAAATTAGTTCGCTCTGGAGCCATCCTTCCTGAGCTAAGGCAAAAATGTATGAGCTGGAGGCTAAAAAACTGTGAGCTAACTCACACTAACTCCACTTAGAGGGAACACTGGTTACCAGCAATGTTCCCTCTAAGCTGTAGAGTCTTGTGAGCAAAAATGCTACTTTGTGAGCTACTGGCATTAAAGTTGTGAGCAAGTGATTTGGATACTGCATAAATTAGTTTGCTCTGGAGCCATCCTTCCTGAGTTAAGACAAAAATGTGAGCTGGAGGCTAAAAACCTGTGAGCTAGCTCACACTAACTCAGCTTAGAGAGAACACTGGTTACCAGCCATAGTGATTTAGATAGTATACATTATATAGTGATTAAGGCAGTTTTGAGGCCTTAAACGGCTTGTTTTGTCCAGTGAAGGCTCCCTGAATTTGGAGAGTTGTAGAGGTTAGATATTTCCTAGGATCTGGTCGGTTCAGTTGTGTATAATGGAGTCCAAGGTACTAAAAGCTGCAGTCTGATGTGCATATTTCTAAGGAACAGTTCTCTGCGGCAGAGGGACCTGCCTCTTAGCAAGCATGCCTGGGATTCCCCCGCTATGAGTTCTCTCGTCCGCACAGCTTCCTGAACAGGAAAGTCGGTTCCTCTTGTTTTATTGGTGCAACGATTCATACAGAAACCTCACAAGGTTTTGTCCCTTGAGCCCAGATTACTCTCTGTGGAATACTTGGTGCAGGACACCGCAGGGACGGTGTGTTCTCTTCTGAGCCGCTATGCCAAAGGACCTGCAATGCTACGTCAAGCTTGAGTGTCACCTATTTCAGTTCTTGGCTACAAAGAGACAGAACTGGTTTTCTAAGCTTGTGGTTTTCTAATAGGCATTTCATTTAACTCTTCCAAGACCTGGATTTAGAACTTTGCAGAGGGGACGGTGTGGGCGAGGAGAAAGAAAAGCCAGGAAACCAGTCAGGCAAAGAGATGCCACCCGCTTGCCCCTATTACTTCAAAGTCTAGGTAAAGGTCAAGGTTTCCCTTGCTCGAAAGCCAGTCGAATCCGACTATAGGGATGCGGTGCTCATCTCCGTTTTGAAGCTGAAGAGCCAGCGCTGTCCGAAAACGTTTCCGTGGTCATGTGGCCGGCATGACTAGACGCCGAGGCACACGGAACGCTGTTACCTTCCCACCGAAGCAGTACCTGTTTTATCTACTTGCAATTTCTTGCTTTCGAGCTGCTAGGTTGGTAGGAGCTGGGACCAGAGATGGGAGCTTGCTCCGTCAGGCGGCACTCGGGTCTTGAACTGCCGTACTACCGACCTTCTGGTCTGCAGCTCAGCGTCTTAACCACTTGAGCCACCACAGCAAAGTACCACCAAGTACATTGTTTCTGTTAGCAAGCAGAAGAGCTAGAGACATTTTAAATTTAAAAGGGTGGCATATCAGGCTGCCAAATACTAGCCTCCGTACCTGTGGGTGAGAGGCATACACCCTCCCTCCCATCCAGTCCCCAGTGAAGTACAAAAATGTCTTGGCTTTGAAAAGGTTGAAGCAGCGCTCAGTCTTGGAGCCTTTATTGTTAAGTGGAACTGGGTAAAGTGCTATCAAAAAAGGCTTTACAAAATTGTTCAAATGCTTTGCTTTTTAAATGACGGGGAAGGAATCAGTCAGACCTTCAACTGGACAGAGACCAGGATCAAGGCGAGGCCACTCGCCAGCTGTGTAGGCACGCCTAATGGGATGTGTGCCACCACCTCTGGCACAACAGACACGCTCTTATCTCCTCCCCCCCACCCTTTCAGCATTCATTAAACTCCCCTCAGCCCCCCTGAGATGCACACCGGACTAATGGGGCCCTCCCAAGGAGCCGAGCTCAAGTTGAGTGTCACAGGAGTGTCTGTATTGGAAAGAAAGGAAGGCGAGACCACTGTGCCAACACATCAGGCTGCGGAGGTTGTGGGCAGCTGGTTTTGAGCTTGGAGATGGATTCAGACCAACAGCTGCTTCCTACTGAGTGCGAAGGTGACCCAAGTGTCTTCCAAATTCATCATAGCGCATTCGTGGATCCCCCCCCCCCTTCTCCGGTCTCTCTCAAACCTGCTTTGCTCGAACGTTTTGCAGAAGATCTCAGTAAAGCCCGGATGGCTGCTGTGTGGGTGGGAAATTCCAATTTCCTGGCCCACGGGGCAGCCATTTTCCTTGATTCTGTCCCCAAGGTAACCAGTTATCCCCCCACTACTTGGGATTTTTAATTTTTTTTAAAAAGGCACTAGAATATACCATTGCATCAATATACCACTGTACTGACAGGTGTTGGCAGTTTCTCTGGATTCCTAGCTGCAATTTTTAAAAAAGTCTCTAGCTCCTCGACTTGTGGAGACATACAAAAAAAGGTGATCTCTGCAAGGGAAGGCGACTTTTTAAAGTGGAACCTGGGGATTGGGAGAAACTGCTACACCTTTTGGTACAATAGTATATCAATATAACAATATTCTAGTGCCAATTAAAATAACTGCAAAAGCCCTGGTTGCCCAAGGGTGGGGTGGTCACTGCTGGGGGACTGGAGCAATAAAGCTCTTGGGGAAACTGCCATGTGGAAGCCCCTGTCGCTCCTGTCCTTTATCTGTAGGTGCGCTGGCTACAGGGAAACTGCAAGATCCCGCCCCTATGTGGAAGACACCGAAGTGTTGACTCGCAAGAAGAAGCAGGAGAGAAGAAGAGATTGGCTATATACACCGCCCTTCACTACCCAAGGGAGTCTCAAAGCGGCTTACAGTCTCCTTTCCCTTCCCTTCCCCTCCCCACAACAGACACCCTGTGAGGGAGGTGGGGCTGAGAGAGCTCTTGACAGAAAGTGCTGTTTTTCAAGAACAGCTCTTACCAGAACTATGGCTTGCCCAAGGTCATCCAGCAGGTGCAAGTGGAGGAGTGGGGAATCAAACCCGGTTCTCACAGATTAGAGTCCGTGCACTTAACCACTACACCAAACTGGCTCTCAAGGGGAACTACTTTAGAGCAGCGGGAGTCCACACACAGTGAGTAGCTAGAGTCCTCTGGACAAGCAAGCAAAAACCCAGCAAGCACTGGCTGTGAAGTCCGTCCCAGAACCTGACAAAGGTTAGTCAAATGTAAGGAAGGGGGCCAATATTAAAAACGTAATGAAGGAAATATATAAAAATACATGTAATTATTAATCATACATTTTAAAATTATATAAGGGCTCAATCACACGTTATGAGGAAGGCCTATGTAGGCCGAAACGCGTCAAGTCAGATTTATAAGCCCTTGTGTTTTATCATGTTATTTATACATTACGTATAAAGGGGGCCCTTATATAATTTTAAAATTTCTGATTAATATATTTCCTCCATTAAGTTTTTAATATTGGCCCCCTTTCTTACACTTGACTAACCTTTGTCAGGTTCTGGATTCTAAGTTTTAGGTTCAGTTTTTCCCCCCTTCCCCTTTTTTGTCCTTGTGGAGTCCGTCCCACCAGAACACAGTTTGAGTCCAGTCAGGCACCTTTAAGAAAGCTTGTGCGAAAGCTTGTACCCGGGATTAAACTCTGTTGGTTTTAAAGGTGCCACTGGACACTGGACTCGAACTTGGTTCTGTGCAGAGGTTGTAGTTCCCCTTGACTCTCGACAGCTGGTGACTTTCAGTATGAACGTATCTTAGGAAAAGCGTTTGATCCAAATCCACCTCCAATGCCTGTCCGTGCTGGGGTTACCCTTAGCTGAAGCAACCCGAGCTGCAGTGTTAGGAGAGTCTAGTGACAAATAAATGTACACTGCAAAAACCTTTTAGCAAACTAATGTGTTCAAAGCTGCAGCTTTGAGAATGACAGGAGTACTCCATCCATGAATGTTAGCTGCATAATGTGTCTTTTGTAGGACCGGCAAAAAGCATCCATACAAGAAGGCTTGTCCCCCTTTTTGGAAGACTTCATGCAAGGAGAAGCGGGCTTATAAAACTCTCGTTGGGGCTTGACTTTTAAAATGCTGATGCAAAATTGTCTGGTAGTTTGCAATCTGTATGTATTGAATGTTATTGCTTATTGAATATAATGAATATTTATACCTGACTAGGATGAAATGATGATACACTATGCACTTTACTAAATGATGACCATAAATAGAACATATTAGTTTGCTAAAAGGTTTTTGCAGCGTATATTCATTTGTTATAGACTCCATTAAAAAACCAGACAAACTGGACCACACGCTGCCTTTCATGTTTGGCCTGATGCAATGGGACAATAAATACTTTAAAGATATTGCTGTACAGAAGGTTTAACTTAATCTCACTTAAATAAAAGAATTCCTTAAAGTGCCTCTGCTGTCCCACCCCCTTGAGATGTCCGGACACGTGGACTATTCCTCACCACGCCAGTGTTCACGGCCGGGTTTTCACCGGGATGGTCTGCTTGCAGTCCGTGGTGCCGCCGTGGGCCTCCGGAAGGCCCACTGAATACTCAGTGGTAGCGATGAGCAACATGTCTAAGGTGGTCTCGGTGCATTTGGCAATAAAACGGA